GATTGAGAGTTTCTGTCATATTTAGAGAATTGTTATTATATTGAAACAAATGTACAAAGCAGAATTGCAAAGAAAGTAGTTCTTACTGTTTATTTCATTTTTTGGAGTTTCTCTTTGTTCACGTGAGAGAGAACCCAGAGGCTTTTGTTAAAAAAGAAATCCTGAAGCACTGATCTATAACCAAGATAAAAATATTTCTCTTCTCCACTGCCTATACTTAACATTTTAGTACCATGATTGATAATGTGCATTAGTAACGAAACACTTCTGGATTTAGTACATCATGGTGTGATCAGAGTGTACTATCAACAAGTGCAAAACAACATGGAGAGTTTGCATTCCTTGATGTGAATTTTTGAAACCATGAACTACAAATCTTACAAATACAGAAGATTTCCTGTCCATTTGAAGAAGGAAAAAAATTTACGTACTAATTATTATATGTTATTATATATATTTTAAGTATTCATAACGTAAAAGATTTTTACTTGAGAAACTCATTGAACTTTTGCTTAAAGAGTTTCTTTAGCTCTGGAGCACCTGAGTGGCTCAGTCAGTTAAGTGTCCGACTTTGACTCTGGTCATGATCTTATGGTTCGTGAGCTCGAGGCCCATGTCGGGCTCTGCACTGACAGTGCATAGCCCACTTGGGATTCTCTCTCCCACTCTCTGTCACTCCCCACTTCACACTCTCTCTCTTCCTCAAAACAAAACAAAACAAAAAAAAGGAATTCCTTTAGCCCGTTGACAGTTTGGGAAAATGTACCCTATCATAAGCAACATTAACCAACTAAATCTAATCATACATTATCAAGTTATCAATCTCCAGATGGTAGCATCCAAAGAAAGAATATACTACTGGGGTGGAAAAAAATAATATTTTAGGAAAAAAGCCTGTTTGAAGTAAAAATATCTCTCTTATTCCAAAACAAATCTAATATTATCTTTGGGTAAAACTCAAATTCACCAATCTGCAGTCACCCATTTCTTAAGAGTAGACTGGTAGAGTTGACTTTGAGGAATAGCTTTTCACAGCTAGGGTTCTTTAATATGTTGATAAATATTCCTGGGGTATGGGTGTCTCTGTCCATTTATACCTGAGAAAGTTTTTAACACCCGAATTCCTTCAGAAAGTTCCATCAGAACTAGAAATTCTGTAGTAAAGGAGTTCTTTTGCCTTCTTTTTTTTTTTTTTTAAATATTTTTTATTTATTTCTAGGGGAGAGAGAGAGAGAGACAGCGTGAGCAGGGGAGGGTCAGAGAGAGAGGGAGTCACAGACTGAAACAGGCTCCAGGCTCTGAGCTGGCAGTCAGCACAGAGCCCGATGCGGGGCTCGAACCGCGAGATTATGGCCTAAGCGAAAGTCGGACGCCCAACCGACTAAGCCACCCAGGCGCCCCGTCTTTTGCCTTCTTTAATCTAAGATTCTCCAAACATTTTTACCCTTGATCCTTCTTTCTACTAACACCTTATAAAATAATATTAATGGTATTCTACCCAACAAAACTAAATAAAAAATTGGAGGATCTCAAGAACTCTTCTCAAGAAGTTCCACAAAGTAGATTCTCAATAAGTATTGTTTTGTTTCATTTAAAAAAAAAAAAGCCAAGTACAGTGTTTCAAACTAGCTTAAATATGGTGAGATTCTTCATTTATATTCCATTTTCTGTACTTCTCCTGTTTGTAATAAATATGCAAATCCAATGCTAATTGTGTATTCTGAAGGTAATATTAGCTAAGAGGACACTATATCTACCTAAAATCATGAATATTTTGGTCTTAATGATCACAATCATTGTTGCCAATTCTAAGATGACGGATTGTCTAATACTACCCTCAAATGCTTGAAATTTTTTCCCAACAATCAATTTGGAATTCTAGTAGGTATGTATCCTCATTTTGGAGCCAAATTCAAAGTTGTTAAATGAACTTTTATCTTAGATGCTGGAACTGACTATCATTTCAAAAAAGAATTTTTTAAAAATACATTTTGTAAGCATAAAATTCTAGTCGCATTAGATTCTAGTAAATATAAATACATTTCTCTCAGGCTCTTGCTCTTGGTTTTGATCTATTTAAATTAGAAAGAAAAAAGGAAAGAGGGAGATTAAATTGCCATTGTTGTGAATTCTGCCTCTGACATTAAACAGCTGGCTTAAATGTTGCAGAATTGATCATTCTGTATTGGATTTACACCGTGATAATGATAATGTAGTGTTATAACATTTATTGCCCAGCAGCTCAGATCACAGGATTTTATTTGTTTTTTAAATGGAGTATCTTATTCTGTAAACCAGGATTTTTATTTTTTAAATTTTTTTAACAGATTAGGAGACTGAAATTTAGGAAGATTATTTTAGACCCTGTATGAGGTAAGGAAAGCAACCACACCTGTAATTACTTAAGCAGTGGCAATAAAAGTATCAACTTTCTCTATAAATTAAAATTGAGGTTTTAGAGTAGCTCATTTAACTTACAATGTGATATACATTTTATGCTTAGTTAATATATGAGCTTTAAAGTAAGACATTAAAAATTAAGTTGCTCTTCTAAAGATAAATTACTGAAATTCTTTCTATATGAAATATTTAAGTATATTTTCCCAAAGTTCAAATGGGCATGATTTTCACTTTCCCTGCACACTTTCTCCACCATACCCCACAAGATTGTTTATACAGGGCTATTCCTGCCATACATCTTGTGAAAACCAGTCCCTTGGAACTTAATGCAAATACCGAATCATTTACTACATCTAACAGATGATAAGAGCCATCACTTAATGAGAGCTAACTATATACTTGGTACTGTGATAAGATAAAAACCTCAATATGTACTGTTTTATCATCATCCCTATTTTATAATTGAAGAGAGAGGTAGTTCAGTTAAGTAATTTCAAATTTTAGCAGTCAGTAAATGCCAGAGAACCATATTTTCTAATTCTGAATATCTGATCACCTGACTTACTACAGTCTGGGGCCCACTGTGAAAAGACATGGGGTGGGGGCAGACAAAATAGTCCAATTGGCAACCATGGCAATCAGGTTATAGTATGTCATCCACGGGTGGAATTTTTTTTTAATGTTTATTTATTATTTTTGAGAGAGAGAGAGGGAGAGACAGAGTGTGAGCAGGGGAGGGGCAGAGAGAGAGGGAAACAAAGAGTCTGAAGCAGGCTCCAGGCTCCGAGCTGTCAGCACCTCACATGGGGACTGAACCCATGGACCATGAGATCATGACCTGAGCTGAAGTCGGACGCTTAACCGACTGAGCCACCCAGGTGCCCCATCCATGGGTAGAATTTTGAAGAGTCAAAAAGCTGACGAGATTTAATGGGGCTAAAGGTTACTGCCACCCAGGTCACTCAGAGCCTAGAAGGGGCTATGTCAGAGAAGTTCTCCTTATTCCTGAAACTCACCTGGGGACAATTCTGGGTGGAGATAGGGATAAAGCATCTCTGCTCCAAAGGCCAATCAGTGGCTCTTTGGGCAATAAAATGGAGGCTAAAACTACCCCTGACCCCATCTCTAGCCGAGCGGTGCCAAACACCTTTCAACTGGAAGACCTGTAGAATAAGAAGTAAGACGAATAAAACCTACTCATGGACCAACATCTGACTCTCTCCAGAACTCCTGAACACTCAGACATAACATGTGCCTCTGGCTCAGTGGCCTAAAGTGAATACATTTTTTTTAATGGCTTAACAAACATATGCCAGATGGAGTTCTAAGGACTTCTACAAATATTAATTCATTAATTTTAATCTTCATAATCGTGCCATCAAGTAGACTCTATTATTATCACTCGTAATTAAGTAACATCCCCAAAGTTCCTGAGCTAGTAAGTGGGAGAAGCCAAAATTCCAATTCTTACATTTTGTTCCAAGCTTCTCTCTTAACTATGCTGCAATGCCGCCTCTCACTGCCTGAGCACTCTCAGCCCATCAAAAGCCATGATGCCTGGAAAATACAACAAATCTATGCACCACAGCCCTGACTCAACAACTGACCCAAGCAGAGTAATTATTCCAGGTAATGAATAATTACTGCTTCACACTTCACACTGATTAAGATGCTATTTTTAATATGTATTTTCAACAAGTACATTGACAAATGCTGAGAATTTAAACCCTGATACCAGCAGTATATATCTGATTCCCAGGGAGGATAAAAATAAAACTCCAGGAATGATGAGGGACACAATAACCATCGCGGTAAACAGGATGGACTTGGGGCCAGATTGTCTGGGTTCAGATTCCGGTTCTACCACTCCCTCTAGCTACATGGCTTCACAAGTTACTTCTACTTATGAATATTTGATTACTCACGTTTAAAGTGTACGTGGGGGAATAATACCTACTACCTATGTGGATTATTGTAAAAATTAAACTGTAAAGTGGCACTTACTAAAGACTAAATAAGGGTTAGCTATTGAACCTGCTTCATAGAAGGGGAGGAGCAGAAGTGAACAGTGCAAGAAGAGAAATACAAACTTTGTCATCACGCAGACACATTCCTCAGTCACAATGGGTCAAGTGATTTTATGAGAACTTTAATGAGAAGCAACTGGAAATCAACACCTGTACTTCACTCCTCTTTCAAAGTGTTGATTATGATTATGTCCATATTAGCTGTTCTCCACTAATTCTTGTGGTCTATTGTGATTCTGAACTACAGCCACAAGTTCTTCCCAATCCAGTTTGCATCTGCTATGCTCTGATTTTTCCTTGACTGTTAGCAGAGGAGTCTACTTTCCCATTCTTTGAATCTGGGCTGGCATGTGTCCGACAGAATGAAATAGAAGTGATGGTGTGACACCTCCAGGGCTAGATGTTAAGAGGATTTGCATCCTTCTCCCCTTGCTTTCTTGGAAAGCTTTCCTGAGAGCACCAGGTAAAGAAGCCAAGCTAGTCTACTGGAGAATTAGACCATGCGAAGGAGAATGAAGAGGCCTTAGCTGACAGCAGGCACCCCTACCAGACACATGTATGACGCCATCTTACCCTCCAATCGACTCACTCCTTTGCCAAACGCTGCTACATGAATGAAGAAAGATCAGGAGAAGAATCGGTAAGAATTCTGAGAAATAAAAAAAAAAATCACTGTTTTAAACTGTGGACTGAGCACAGCAATAAATAACTCAAAAGCATCTTCAGGAAAGTCTTGAGTTAAAGAATGTTTTTAGAAATTCTTGTGTTATTTCTTTTTAAATGTTTTCAATATTTATTCATTTTTGAGAGAGAGATAGAGTGCAAGTGGGGGATGGGCAGAGAGAGAGGGAGACACAGAATCCAAAGCAGGCTCCAGGCTGTCAGCACAGAGCCCGACGAGGGGATTGAACCCACCAGCAGTGAGATCATGACCTGAGCCAAAGTCAGATGACTAACTGACTGAGTCACCCAGGTGCTTCTCTTGTGTTATTTCTTTTTTTTTTTTTCATGTTGTTTATCTGAATATTTATTTATTTTTTTTCATGTTGTTTATCTGAATATTTATTTATTTATTTTTTTTTTTACAAATAGTTTATTGTCAAATTAGTTTCTACATAACACTCAGTGCTCATCCCCAAAGTGCCCTCCTCCATGCCCATCCCACCCTCCCCCCCACATCCATCAGTCCTCAGTTTTTGTCAGCATTCAAGAGTCTCTCATGGTTTGCCTCTCTCCCTTTCCCCCACCATTTCCGCCCTTCTTCTCCCCCTTGGTCCTCCGTCAAGTTCCTCCTAGTCCTCCTATACGTGCAAACATATGGTATTTGTCCTTCTCTGCCTGACTTATTTCGCTCAGCATAACACCCTCAAGGTCCATCCATGTTGCTACACATGGCCAGATTTCATTGTTTCTCATTGCCATGTAGTATTCCATGGTATAGATAAACCACATCTTCTTGATCCATTCGTCTGTTGATGGACACTTAGGCTCTTTCCATGTTTTAGCTATTGTGGAGAGTGCTGCTATGAACATTGGGGTACATGTGCTCCTATGCCTCAGCATTTCTGTATCCCTTGGGTAAATTCCTAGCAGTGCTATTGCTGGGTCATAAGGGAGTTCTATTGTTAGTTTCCTGAGGAACCTCCACACTGTTTTCCAGAGGGGCTGTACCAGTTTACATTCCCACCAACAGTGCAGGAGGGTGCCCGTTTCTCCACATCCTCGCCAGCATCTAGAGTTCTCTGATTTGCTCATTTTAGCCACTCTGACTGGCGTGAGGTGGTATCTAAGTGTGGTTTTGATTTGTATTTCCCTGATGAGGAGGGATGCTGAGCATCGCTTCATGTGTCTGTTGGCCATCTGGACGTGCTCTTTGGAGAAGTGTCTGTTCATGTCTTCTGCCCATTTCTTCACTGGGTTGTTTGTTTTTCGGGCGTGGAGTTTGGTGAGTTCCTTATAGATTCTGGATATTAACCCTTTATCTGATATGTCATTTGCAACTATCTTTTCCCATTCCGTTGGTTGCCTATTAATTTTCTGGGTTGTTTCCTTTGCTGTGCAGAAGCTTTTAATCTTGATGAGGTCCCAACAGTTTATTTTTGCTCTCGATTCCCTTGCTTTTGGGGATGTGTAAAGTAAGAAGTTGCTGCGGTGGAGGTCAAGGAGGTTGTTTCCTGCTTTCTCCTCTAGGGTGTTGATAGTTTCCTGTCTCACGTTCAGGTCCTTTATCCATTTTGAGTTGATTTTTGTGCATGGTGTGAGAAAATGATCTAGTTTCATTCTTCTGCATGTTGCTGTCCAGTTCTCCCAACACCATCTGTTAAAAAGGCTGTCTTTTTTCCATTGGATATTCTTTCCTGCTTTGTCAAAGATCAGTTGGCTGTATACTTTTGGGTCCACTTCTGAGTTCTCCATTCTGTTCCATTGGTCTATGGGTCTGTTTTTGTGCCAATACCATACTGTCTTGAGGATGACAGCTTTGTAGTAGAGGCTGAGGTCTGGGATGGTGATACCTCCCGTTTTGGTTTTATTTTTCAGTATTACTTTGGCTATTCGGGGTCTTTTGTGGTTCCATACAAATTTTTGGATAGTTTGTTCTAGTTTTGAGAAGTATGCTGGGGCAATTTTGATTGGAATTGCATTGAATGTGTAGAGTGCTTTAGGTAGTAATGACATCTTAACTATATTTATTCTTCCTATCCATGAGCATGGAATGTTTTTCCATTTCTTTGTGTCTTCTTCAATTTCCTTCATAAGTTTTCTATAGTTTTCATCATACAGATCTCTTGTATCCTTGGTTAGGTTTATTCCGAGGTATTTTATGGTTTTTTGTGCAATTGTGAAGGGGATCAGTTTCTTGATTTCTCTTTCTGTTGCTTCATCATTGGTGTATAAAAATGCAACCGATTTCTGTACGTTGATTTTGTACCCTGCAACTTGGCTGAATTCGTGGATCAGTTCTAGTAGGCTTCTGGTGGAGTCTGTCGGGTTTTCGATGTAGAGTATCATGTCATCTGCGAAGAGAGAAAGTTTGACTTCCTCTTTGCCAATTCTGATGCCTTTGATTTCCTTTTGTTGTCTGATGGCTGATGCTAGGACTTCCAGCACTATGTTAAACAACAGTGGTGAGAGTGGACATCCCTGTCGTGTTCCTGATCTCAGGGGGAAAGCTCTCCGTTTTTCCCCGTTGAGGATGATGTTAGCTGAAGGCTTCTCATAGATGGCTTTGATGATGTTTAAGTAGGTTCCTTCTATCCCAACTTTCTCGAGAGTCTTTATTAAGAAGGGATGCTGTATTTTGTCAAATGCTTTTTCTGCATCTATTGACAGGATCATATGGTTTTTATCTTTTCTTTTATTGATATGATGGATCACATTGATTGATTTGCGAATGTTGAACCAGCCCTGTAACCCAGGAATGAATCCCACTTGATCTTGGTGGATGATTCTTTTGATATGCTGCTGGATTCGATTTGCAAGGATCTTGTTGAGAATTTTTGCATCCGTATTCATCAAGGATATTGGCCTATAGTTCTCTTTTTTTGTTGGATCTCTGTCTGGCTTGGGAATCAGAGTGATGCTGGCTTCATAAAATGAGTCTGGGAGTTTTCCTTCGACTTCTATTTTTTGGAATAGCTTGAGAAGAATTGGGATTAATTCAGTTTTAAATGTCTGGTAGAATTCCCCAGGGAAACCATCAGGTCCAGGGCTCTTATTTGTTGGGAGATTTTTGATCACTGATTCGATTTCTTCACTCGTTATGGGTCTGTTTAGGTTTTCTATTTCTTCCCGTGTGAATTTTGGTAGTGAGTGTGTGTTTAGGAATTTGTCCATTTCTTCTAAGTTGTCCAATTTGTTGGCATACAATTTTTCATAGTATTCCCTGATAATTGCTTGTATTTCTGAGGGGTTGGTTGTAATAAGTCCATTTTCATTCATAATTTTGTCTATTTGGGTGCTCTCTCTTTTCTTTTTGATAAGCCTGGCTAGAGGTTTGTCAATTTTGTTTACTTTTTCAAAAAACCAACTCTTGGTTTCATTGATCTGTTCAATGGTTTCTTTGGTTTCTATGTTGTTTATTTCTGCTCTAATTTTTACTGTTTCTCTTCTTCTACTGGGTTTAGGGCGTTCTTGTTGCTCTGCCTCTAGCTCCTTTAGGTGAGCTGTTAGATTTTGGACTTGTGCTTTTTCTAATCTCTTGAAATAGGCCTGGAGAGCAATGTACTTTCCTCTTAGGACTGCCTTGGCCGCATCCCATAGATTTTGAATTGTTGTGTTTTCATTTTCATTTGTTTCCATATATTTTTTAATTTCCTCTCTAAATGACTGATTGGCCCATTCATTCTTTAGAAGGGTGTTCTTTAACCTCCATGTTTTTGGCGGTTTTCCAGACTTCTTCCTGTAATTGATTTCAAGTTTCAAAGCATTGTGATCTGACAGTGTGCATGGTATGACCTCTATTCTTTTATATTTATTGAGGGCTGCTTTATGTCCCAGTATGTGATCTATCTTGGAGAATGTGCCATGCGCACTTGAGAAGAAAGTAAATTCCCTGGCCTCAGGATGTAAAGTTCTAAATATATCCGTCAGATCCATCTGGTCCAATCTCTTGTGTTATTTCTAAGACCGGGTGGACCCCACGTACAAATACAACTACGATTCAGGCATAGAGATGAAGCAAAATTCACAGACATTTTTGAGGCATACTGTCCTTGGCAGGTTTATTTCAGTCTGATTTGATGCTCTGCTGAGCACCCCTTCCTTCTGAGGTCCCAGAGGGCCATTTTTCTGCATAGGAATATTCTAGACCTATAGCATATATATACTATTACAGAAATTTTTATAGGTTAGAGCACAAGCCTGAGAGCAAAACGGTCTAAAATCAATTCTAGCAATTTCTAGCAACTAATTTTAAAAGTATACTATGTAAGTATTAACAATTGTAAGTATTGTGTGTGTGTGTGTGTGTCCAATATACTGAATAAACAAGATTCACAGGACAAAATCACAGAACAATTTTTATCTGCTCTTGTTTCTTTAAAAATTTCTTTGCAGGAAGTTCTTTCCTTGTCTATGGATAAGAACTCTTTGTGAAACCCATATATATTCTTTCTGAATGTATATATTTCAAACTTTTAACGGAGTTAAATATAAAACTTCCAAACTTTTAACAAAGAAAATGTGGTCTTACACAATTAAAGATAGAAAACAAAGAAATAAGCAAGTATTAATAATCAAAGGGGTAAGGGGTTACTTGGTAGCTCAGTCGGTTAAGTGTCCAACTTAGGCTCTGGTCATGATCTCATGGCTCCTGGGTTCAAACCCCACGTCAGGTTCTGTGCTGACAGTTCTGTGCTGACAGGCCTGGAGCCTGCTTTGGATTCTGTGTCTCCCTTTCTCTCTGTCCCTCTCCTGTTCTCTCTCTCTCTCTGTCTGTCTCTTTCTCTCTCTCTCCCCCCCCAAAAAAGAAAAAAACATGAAAAATTTTTAATGAAACCAGTAATATTAGATTCTAAAAGACAAAAACAAATATAATAATTAATAATTGGCTTAAGTGCTTTTGTTTTTTAAAGAGAAGACTAATCAGTTTGGATAAACAAACAACTACTATTGAGCTATATACTTTTATGAAATACTCAGTAGTGTCAG